ATGTATACATGGCTGTATAGCGGTGCCTACAATTTACAAAGGTTGATGCCACATTGGATATTTGATGAGAAGTGATTACAGCTTAGAGGAGGGGTTGATGTACAAGAGTGATTGATTTGTAGAATTAGAGTTGAGGGGACATACAATTGATGAGTTGACGATACAATAGTTTGTGATTACAAGCACAAAGGAGGAGTATGGAAGCCAGATGGACAAAGGGAGGTAGGGAAGGGATTACTGGTGGTGGTGTTTGGATAGGTGGTGATAGGCTGACGAGATGGGGAAATAACCATGATCTCGATTCATGTGGTGGGAGTTTGTGGCGTTGGATGTTTATGGCTTCTAAGAGTTTCCCTAATTTTGTAGTCATCTTTGGCCAGTTTGATTTCTAGGATATCGATGTTGTTTCCCTTGGGATGGCATATGATCCAGGAGTTTGGCTTAGGTAGTAGTCATTTCATGGTTGATTTGGAGTCGTTTTACCGGACTGACGCTTTATGTTCCCATGATTCATGATAGGAGCCGGGCGGGATGTTCCCGCAATATAGAAGTCTCCGCATTGACAACAGATCAGTCGCAACAGCCTTAGAGTATGAACAACCAATATAACTTTTAAGGTCAAAGGTTTAGCGTGCTATGTATAGGAGATATGTATGTATCCATTCTCATACTTAACTTAGGTTTGCTCCAATAGGAGTAGTTAGTGAATGTGAATAACGCTTTGTCTTTTTAGTGATCTCTTGACTACGTGAAGGGTCCGGGTTAGTATATATTGATCTTCAGTAACTTCATGTTTATTGTAAGAGGCGACTAACGGGATTTGAGTGAGTCAGGCTCGCTTACTTGGTTGAAGCCACATGTCATGCGGTTCCCAATTGCGTAAGATCATTACTCATCACTTGTTGATCACTGGATTGTCTGGTCAAGACTCGATTATTTACAGACCGCCGCCATATAGGAATATCATATATGATTGCGGCGTAAAACTAAAACTCACTCACTCACTTTAATGATCCGCCGATAAATCGCAATCCTTGGTGGAATCCGGGCTGGTACTGTTGTCTCAAGAAAGCAAAAGATCAGCGGGTGGTCAGTCTTAGGGACGAAGCTGATGCATGTCATAGTTTCCCAGCTGCATAGAGAGATACTCGTAGTGTCATTCCCTAGGTGCATGATCCTAGACTTGATTAATCACAGACCACTGTCATATAGTTAGGAGAATATTGCTGAGTGCCGTGTAAAATATCAAACACACAAACCGACCACTTCACCACCGCACGATCGAAGTGACCGTAACCAATGCAACACTGAATGAATTAAATTGAATTGGAAATGATTACAACAAGATATAATATGAATACTTATATGACCTGGTAGTGGAAGGTTGCGTCCTGCCGACCCGGATTTGTTGAGATGGTATTTCCGGAACTTGCCGACTGTGAGTTGGTAGTATAGCCCAGTGTGCGAAATAGTTTCCACATTTTGCTGCACCAAGTCGGGCTAGCTATGCCCTGAAAGTTATTAGCCAACAAGATATTTCATTAGACCGAAATTTGAATGCTTAGAAACTGAGCAAGTTACAGCAATAGATGAGATAAGATATTGTCAGCATGACACAGGTTTCATCATTAAGCTGCTAATATGATGAACCTCTTTATAAGATACATAATCTTTTTGACTTAAAGTGCATTATAAATTAGACAAGTCGGAGAGGTGATATATTTACAAAATGACCCCATGAAAATTCATAAAGTGGGCCAATGACTGTGGAAGTTACTGGCCCGACTGTCGTTTATAGCCACAGGCTAGCGGGCCAGCAGCTATTTTGAACACAGCATTCGACACATGTTGTCAACCATATTTCCCTATTTTATCATCAGTTGATTAGATGGGGAATTCCTCCAGTGGCGGCCTAATGCTCATCCCAGGCTTTGAGTCGAAGTTCAATAGCCACAGAATGTTCCGATATCAGTTGTGTCATAATCCGAAATACGTACAGCATTCCAAATGTCAAGAACAGAATTTCCACGCAAGTTGTTTTACATGTAATAAATAAATCTCTCTTCTTAATGCTTGCCCTGATTGGCTGAATTGATTTTGTTCATCACAAAGGTATAAATATTCCAATGTCAAAACAATTAAGGAGGGATATTTTATAAAGTTAGTTGTATCATTTTAATTTTTTTTTTTAAAGGAAATATAATTTTAGATACATTTTTGAACAATGTGTTTTTTGTAAAATAGATAAATGGTAGTTTATATATGGTGAGTATAACTTAGCAGCTGCGATTGTTAGTGGCTCCCTGTATCCTCAAAGGGGTTAAAGTATTGTAAAATTATTGTCCTCCTGAGGAGGGCACTGAGAGAATCTCAAAACTTTCAAAGTGAATTTAAACGTATCAGATTTTTTTTAAAAAGTAGTATTTTTTTGTTATTTTAAATTATTACTGAATTTTGCCCACAATCACCAACGACTGAATGGATGATATAAATCCACCTAAGATCCATGCAGGAAGCAAATGTACTGTAAATCCCCATGGTCCCTATTGTATGGTGATCAGACCTTCTGTTGTTGGCGATCTATAGCCCCATTTTATATTGTGTTGTTTCGACATGATTTAGCATTTTACATAGCTTAAGCTGGTTTTGCTGTGGTTTGTGATAATCTAGTCGTTATGCACTGTCCTTCGCTGACAGCTTTTCTCACCGTGCAGTACGATTGTTTGTCGTCACGTTATGGCTGAAATATTGCCGATATGACGTAAAATTTTAACTCACTCCACTCACTCTCTTCTTGATGTTTAAGTAGCAGTCTGTTTGATCCCAGGCCAACGTCACCTTTCATATTGTTCGTGTAGCCAGTTCAAGCATTTCTTGCAGTGAATTCAGGAAGTAACCGTATACCGATAGTGAAACATAAAAGTGGAAGCAGGAAAAGAATGAATCTTTCGAATACAGGTATGATATGTTTCCCCTATATGTGTCTTTGTTTACATAACATTCTGAATAACTAGTTCTGTCTGTGTGTAAAATAGAAAGTGAACTGCTTGATAAGCAAGTATTTGTGACACGTCGTATGTGTAATGGTTCTTAAAATGCATGTTGTTTTGTTAGTTGTTAACCTTCAGTATTATTTAAATACCCTGAATATGTTCACCGCAATAATAAGAATGTTCCGAGAAGTCTATGTGTGCATGCATTTCTGTGATTCTGAACAGTTGCACGTGACATGGTCTACTGACTATTAGACCCGTGTAGGTCGGGTTAGAATATAGATCTTCAGTAACCCATGCTTGTCGTAAGAGAGGCGACAGAACGGACTAGGTGGTCAGGCTCGCTGACTTGGTTGACACATGACATCGGTTCCCAATTGCGCAGATCGATGCTCATGCTGTTGTTCACTGGATTTTCTGGTCCAGACACGATTATTTACAGACTGTCGCCATATAGCTGGAATGTTGCTAAGTGCGGCGTAAAACTAAACTAAACTCACTCACTATAACACCATAGGCGGATTCAGAGTGGGGGTGGGTGAATAGAGTTTTTGCAGGGCTTGCGCACCCCTCTTTTGTCCTGAAAGTTTATTAAATGACCATTGAAACTCTCGTGAAAATGAAGTTCGCACCCCACTGTAATATTTACTGTAATATTTACACAATATCAAATTCAGTGTGTAAAGGGAGGCAATCCCACAGTGGTCATAAACATGGTTGAAGACGTAAAATTGGAAGTGAATTGAACTCAATATTGTTTTAACCTTGCATGTGTTGATTAAATATTTTCGGATAACTATTTTATTGTAAACATTAATTGACGAACATCTTGCCGTCGCGATGATCCATTATGTCAAAGTTTATGTTGTGTATTCTGTTTGGTGATGATAATTTCACTTTTCACTTTTGAGCTTCACAGAAATTCGAAGTCACCTCATTTATAGCTTAACATTTTGAAAACAGGGCTTCAATTTTATCGTGGATAGGTTGCATTTTGTTATGACGCTCATATCTTTTCTGTACTGCATCAAAGGATTTTTTTTACAAAATGGCCGCCACGGCAGCCATATTGAAAATCTAGCCATTGCCATGTTTGTATGTACGAGTCAATCCCTATATTTTAAACTTTGACCATATTTTAGATCATATATTCTCCTACAATGAATATATAAACTGTCTCTGGTATTCCTTCTGGTGAGACAATACTTTGTTCAGATCTGTCCGTATCAGCCTTACTGTTTACTTCACAGTATTTACACATTCTGTAACGGATGCTGACTTGCAGGATCGTGTACATGCAGCTAATTTCATTTGGTCATATCCACTACAGCTTTACAAACGGTAGCCCCACGTCACTGCTACCTTTATCAGTTTGATCCCATATTGTATCCATTATTGTAAGACCCAGATTGGTTATTCATTGTTTATTCCTTAATTCACAACCTAGTTTGATCACACATTGTATTCATTTTTGTACGACCCTGTTTGATTATTCATCATTGTTTGATCACACATTGTATTCATTATTGTACGACCCTGTTCGATCATTCATTATTGTTTGATCACACATTGTATCCATTATTGTACGACCCTGTTTGATCATTCATCATTGATCACATTGTATTCATTATTTACGACCTTGTTTCATCATTCATCATTGTTTGATCACACATTGTATTCATTATTGTACGACCTTGTTTGATCATTCATCATTGTTTGATCACACATTGTATTCATTATTGTACGACCCTGTTTGATCACTCACACATTGTATCTATTATACGACCCTGTTAGATCACAACAATTAGTATGATCACACATTGTATCCTCTATTTGAGCACAAATAATTATATTTAGGTATGGTAACGCAATAACACGTATCATCTTGTCATTATTCTCAGAATTAATATCATCCGCTACCCAGTTCTAAGAATTAATATCATCCGCTACCTATATTTGTAACTGGCAGTACAGTCATTGAATTGGAGGGGCATCACGTGGTCGGCGTGGCGGCGTGGTCCTGCGGAGGAGGACCCCAGATGGAGTGTCCACTTCAGCCTTCAGGCAGATATTTAGTGTCCTCTTTGCATGTAGAAGTCGCCAAAGGTAAATCACGTTTTTCAAACATAATTCAATCCAACTGCAACAGAGTTTACAGTCCTGTATTATTATATAAGCATACTTCGTGTTATTCTCGGTGTAAATGAGGAAATGAAGTCTGACTGACATCCAAGTATACTCAACTATACGACATATATTACCCTAACAATATGACAGTGGGTATGGCATCACACCAACACAACTCAGTGTTGATATATCGATGCCTGTGGGTTGATATATCTATGCCTGTGGATTGATATATCGATGCCTGTGGGTTGATATATCGATGCCTGTGGATTGATATATCGATGCCTGTGGGTTCATATATCGATTCCTGTGGGTTGATATATCGATGCCTGTGGGTTCATATATCGATGCCTGTGGCAGCATTTCCTTGTATGTCTGTTGTTTGCAGTTTGATAGATTTTTCTGTTTGAAGTTTCGAAACAAGTTAATCTCTTTTGTTATGTGTTGGTACTTAATATTCAATGTTTTACATGCTCTCTTACTGTTGTGAAAATATGACCTTTTATTTGTTGTAAATGCTCATCAAGCATCTATTAGTTGAACTGTTCTTCGATGGCAGGATTTTAAACCGTTTACATATATTTGCTATTAATGTGTAATTTCCTCTCTTCACGATATGGCTGAAATATTGTCGGTATGATGTCACTGACTTTCTCGAAGCATGTTAATCTGCGTTTCATTATAACCCATCTCACAGGTATTATCTGAATTGCTAGACATAACATACTGCGTAAATTTCTTCTTCAGGTGTTATGATTGTTTCTACTGTGGATTTAATTACGTTTTGAAAATTTAAAAGCGTGATATCGGAATGAAACATACACTGATAACAGCGTGATATCGGAATGAAAAATACACTGATAACAGCATGATATTGGAAAGAAGCTATACATTGATAACAGCATGATATTGGAAAGAAGCATACATTGATAACAGCATGATATTGGAAAGAAGCATACATTGATAACAGGATGATATTGGAAAGAAGCATACAATGATAACAGCGTGATATCGGAATGAAGCATACATTGATAACAGCATGATATCGGAATGAAGCATACATTCATAACAGCGTGATATTGGAAAGAAGCATACATTGATAACAACATGACATCGGAAAGAAGCATACATTGATAACAGCGTGATATCGGAATGAAGCATACATTGATAACAGCGTGATATCGGAATGAAGCATACATTGATAACAGCATGATATCGGAATGAAGCATACATTGATAACAGCGTGATATCGGAATGAAGCATACATTGATAACAGCGTGATATTGGAAAGAAGCATGCATTGATAACAGCATGATGTCGGAATGAAGCATACATTGATAACAGCATGATATCGGAATGAAGCAAGCATTGATAAAAGCATGATATCAAATGAAACATACATTGATAACAGCGTGATATTGGAATGAAGCATACATTGATTGAACCAGCATGATATTGGAAAGAAGCATACACTGGTAACGCCGTGATATCGGAATGAACTTTATACTGATAACAGTGTGACATCAAAATGAAGCACACACTGATAACAGCTTGATATCGGAATCAAGCATACATTGATAACAGCATGATATCGAAATGAAGTATACATTGATACCAGCGTGATATCGGAATGATGCATGCATTGATATCAGCGTGATATCGGAATCAAAGATACACTGATAACAGCATGATATCGGAATCAATCATACACTGAAAATAGCGTGATATCAGAATGAAGCATGCACTGATAATAAAGTGATATCCAGAGAAATGAAGCATACACTGATAACAGCGTGATATTGGAATCACAACAGCATGATATTGAATGAAGTATACACTCACAACAGCGTGCGGAAATGAAGATACTCACAACAGCGTGATATGAATGAAGTATACACTCACAACAGCGTGATATCGGAATGAAGTATACACTCACAACAGCGTGATATCGGAATGAAGTATACACTCACAACAGCGTGATATCGGAATGAAGTATACACACAACAGCATGCATCGGAATGATATCGGAATGAAGTATACACTCACAACAGCGTGATATCGGAATGAAGTATACACTCACAACAGGGTGATATCGGAAATAGTGTATATCGGAATGAAGTATACACTAACAACAGCGTGATATCGGAATGAAGCATACACTCACAACAGCGTGATATCGGAAATGAAGTATACACTCACAACAGCGTGATATCGAAATGAAGTATACACTCACAACAGCGTGATATCGGAATGAAGTATACACTCACAACAGCGTGATATCGAAATGAAGAATACACTCACAACAGCGTGATATCGGAATGAAGTATACACTCACAACAGCGTGATATCGGAATGAAGTATACACTCACAACAGCGTGATATCGGAATGAAGTATACACTCACAACAGCGTGATATCGGAATGAAGTATACACTCACAACAGCGTGATATCGAAATGAAGTATACACTCACAACAGCGTGATATCGAATGAAGTATACACACAACAACACAACAGCGTATACACTTCACAACATGATATCGGAATGAAGTATACACTCACAACAGCGTGATATCGGAATGAAGTATACACTCACAACAGCGTGATATCGGAATGAAGTATACACTCACAACAGCGTGATATCGGAATGAAGTATACACTCACAACAGCGTGATATCGGAATGAAGTATACACTCACAACAGCGTGATATCGGAATGAAGTATACACTCACAACAGCGTGATATCGGAATGAAGTATACACTCACAACAGCGTGATATCGGAATGAAGTATACACTCACAACAGCGTGATATCGAAATGAAGAATACACCGATAACAATCATACACTGATAACAGTGCTATATTGGAGTGAAAGATACGCTGATATCAGTGGGTGTACATCGGAATGTGCGTGCTATATTGTGGCGAGGTTACTTTCTTAAGATTCCTAGGATTGCCAAGTGTGAGACCTTCCATGTGTTTTCCGGCCCTGGGATATCTGTCGAATGCTTGTTCACTTCCCTGTTGAAGGAAACAACAGCAGGAGTCCACATCTTTTCAAAGTTGAAATGATAGCATTAATATGAATCTACTTCTTCAATACCCTTTTTAACGTTATTATCACAGCGTTAAGATCGACCTGGAACCGTAACATGGTCATGATCCTCTCTGTGGCTCTGTCTCTCTCTCTCTGTCTCTCTCACCTTCTCCCCATTGCGCTCCTCCGCTCTCACCGATCACTCCACTAGCCCACTCCTCACTCACCCACTCACCCACTCACTCACTCACCCACTCACTCACTCCCACCCACTCACACACTCACCCATCCACTCCTCCACCAACTCAGTCACGCACTCACTCATTAACCCACCCACCCACCCATTTACTCACTCCTCACCCAACCACTCCACTCACTCACACACACACCCACTCACCCAATCACCCACTCACCCACTCATTCACCCACTCATCAGGTCACTCCTCATCACTCACTCACTCACTCACTCACCCGATCAACCACTCAACCCACACCCACTCACTCACTCACTCACTCACTCACTCACCCACTCACCCAACCATCCAACCACTCACTCACCCACTCACCCGCCCACCCACTCAATCACTCAAACACCAATCAATTTCAAAACACATCAAGAAGGAAACAAAGGTCCAACTCCCTTCTACTGATGAAAACCTGGGAAACATATGTCCAGCCCCCGTCTTCAGATAAAAACCTGGGAAACAGATGTCAAGCTAGAGTCTGTAGATATAGACCTGGGAAACATATGTCCAACTCCCGTCTACTGATAAAAACCTGGGAAACATATGTCCAACTCCCGTCTACTGATAAAAACCTGGGAAACATATGTCCAACTCCCGTCTACTGATAAAAACCTGGGAAACATATGTCCAACTCCCGTCTACTGATAAAAACCTGGGAAACAAATGTCCAACTCCCGTCTACTGATAAAAACCTGGGAAACATATGTCAAGCTCCAGTCTGCAGATATAGACCTGGGAAACATATGTCCAACTCCTGTCTACTGATAAAAACCTGGCAAACAGATGTCAAGCTCCAGTCTGCAGATATAGACCTGGGAAACATATGTCCAACTCCCGTCTAAAGATAAAAACCTGGGAAACAGATGTCAAGCTCCCGTCTGCAGATATAGACCTGGGAAACATATGTCCAACTCCTGTCTACTGATAAAAACCTGGGAAACAGATGTCAAGCTCCAATCTGCAGATATAGACCTGGGAAACATATGTCCAACTCCTGTCTACTGATAAAAACCTGGGAAACAGATGTCAAGCTCCCGTCTGCAGATATAGACCTGGGAAACATATGTCCAACTCCCGTCTACTGATAAAAACCTGGGAAACATATGTCCAACTCCCGTCTACTGATAAAAACCTGGGAAACATATGTCCAACTCCCGTCTACTGATAAAAACCTGGGAAACAGATGTCCAACTCCCGTCTACTGATAAAAACCTGGGAAACATATGTCCAACTCCCGTCTACTGATAAAAACCTGGGAAACATATGTCCAACTCCCGTCTACTGATAAAAACCTGGGAAACAGATGTCCAACTCCCGTCTACTGATAAAAACCTGGGAAACATATGTCCAACTCCCGTCTACTGATAAAAACCTGGGAAACAGATGTCAAGCTCCCGTCTGCAGATATAGACCTGGGAAACATATGTCCAACTCCCGTCTACTGATAAAAACCTGGGAAACAGATGTCAAGCTCCCGTCTGCAGATATAGACCTGGGAAACATATGTCCAACTCCTGTCTACTGATAAAAACCTGGGAAACAGATGTCAAGCTCCAATCTGCAGATATAGACCTGGGAAACATATGTCCAACTCCTGTCTACTGATAAAAACCTGGGAAACAGATGTCAAGCTCCCGTCTGCAGATATAGACCTGGGAAACATATGTCCAACTCCCGTCTACTGATAAAAACCTGGGAA